TCTCGCCTTGTTATATTTCTGACCTTTTAGTCCCATACGCACCAGCACTTACCTTGAGATCCTCGGGCAGAGGTCTGTTGTCTGTTCCAGAGTCTCGACTGAAAACTAAAGGGGACAGAGCGTTTGCTGTCAGGGCCCCGAGGCTCTGGAACAGCCTGCCCGAGGAAATCAGGTCGGCTGAGTCAGTGAACTCTTTTAAGTCCCTTCTTAAAACATACTTTTATAGGAGAGCCTTTCCCGATCTTATTTGACTTTATTTTATCCCTTTTATTTTATTGTATTTTACTAATTTTATATTTATCTTAAACGTATATTTTAGTCTTTTCAATGTTTCTTACTTTTATCTGGTATTGTTTTTGTATTATTGTCTTTACACTTGTTAAAGCACTTTGTAACTTGTTTTTGAAAAGTGCTAAAATAATAAAGATTATTATTATTATTATTATTATTACAAGCTTCTTTTCCTGAGCTTTCAACCAAAGCTCACAGCCTTAATCAAGGAATGGGTTTGCTTATTTGTCAGCACATGACGGAAGGTAATAGGTGGTTGTATAATGGGGGGGGGGGGGGGGGGGGCAGCCTCTGTCTCTGGTGTTGGATGTGAATGTCCTCCTTGATCTTTCTCTGACCATCCACATCAAAAGGTTCTGAATCCTAAAGTGATGCTGTTGATGAAAGTGTGATGTTATTACTGATTTGATCGGTGATGCGATTGCTTACAAAAAAATGACAAACTACATGGTGACTCGACACAGTCCATTGAACTGAACAAGACAATTTGAGCCAGCAAAGTGGTGGATAATTTTCTCCTCTAATTCAATGTTATATGGAAACATTTGAGAACAAGTCTGGCTGAATGTTGGTGTGACTCCCTGTATGTGGTGTGCGTTCTTTCCCCCGTTCTCTTCTCCCTGTACACCAACAGCTGCACCTCCAGTCACCAGTCTGTCAACTCCTGAAGTTTGCGGATGACACCACCCTCACTGGGCTCATCTCAGGTCGGGATTCGTCCGCCTACAGGTGGGAGATCAACCATCTTGTGACCTGGTGCAGCCAGAACAGTCTGGAGCTCAACGCTCTGAAGACAGTGGAGATGGTCATGGACTTCAGGAGGAGCCCAGCCCCACCCTCCCCATCATCCTGTGTGACTCCCCAGTCACCACTGTGGACTCCTTCCGCTTCCTGGGCACCATCATCTCCCAGGACCTCAAGTGGGAGCTGAACATCACCTCCCTCACCAAGAAGGCCCAGCAGAGAATGTACTTCCTGCGGCAGCTGAAGAAGTTCAGCCTACCACTGATGGTGCACTTCTACACCGCCATCATTGAGTCCATCCTCACCTCCTCCATCACCATCTGGTTCACTGCTGCCACTGCCAGGGACAAGGGCAGGCTGCAACGTATCATTCGCTCTGCAGAGAAGGTGATTGGCTGCGATCTTCGTTCTCTTCTGGACCTGTACGCCTCGAGGACTCTGAGGCGAGCAGGAAAGATTGCAGCTGACCCCTCCCACCCCGGACACAAACTGTTTCAGACTCTCCCCTCTGGCAAGAGGCTGCGGTCAATCAGGACCGAAACCTCTCGCCACAAAAACAGTTTCTACCCGTCTGCAGCTAGCCTCATTAACAAGGCCCGGGTCCCCCACTGACACTCCCCCCTTTCAAATAATACAATTGTCTCTGCACATGTAAATACTATTTCATTTCATACCATGCACGAACCTGGCACATTGCACATAATTGTTGTTAATTGTTTGTATATTTTTTTATTGTGAATTTATAGATTTCGTTGCAACACGTGTGCACAACACAAACCCAGAATAATGCACATGTAAATATCTGCGACGTTGTTCTTTCTCTACAAATAGTTGTATATTTTTCTCTATTCTTTTTAATATTCTTATATAACTTGCATTGTTTATTCCATATTATATATTTCTACATCTATTTATGTCAGCTGTATGTCTGTCTGCGTGTGGCACCTTAACACCAAAGCAAATTTCTTGTATGTGTAAAACACTACTTGGCCATAAAGCTCCTTCTGATTCTGATGTCCAAACCTATTAGACAGGTTCTTACTTATACATTACAGACTTATCAATGTGGGGGAGTATGTAGCGTATATGTCTGGAAACATAAGTGTGTGCATAGGGGATGTCTGTGTCACCAAGAAACCAGAAACCCTGGCTGACCACTGAGGTGTGTGCAACTTTGAGAGAATGAGATGGTACCTTCAAATTCGGTGACATGGTGCCTGGCAGATCAGCAAGAGCTGAGCCATCACGGCAGCAAAGCGTCCTCATGGTAAAAAAACCTGTGAGGTAAGTCATCATGATGACCAGGTACCCAATCTTGACCCAGCTGATGTCCGAAGGACCTGAAAAAGTCTGCAGATCCTGACAATATACCAGGCCGCATGCTCAGAGAATGTGCTGCCCATCTGGCACATGACCTCACAGAAATTTTTAACACTTCACTGAGCCAGGCTGTTGTCCCATCATGCCTCAAGACTGCCACCATCATACCAGTGACAAAAAAAATCCACAATTTCATGTCTTGACAACTATAGCCCCATGGCACTTTTTATTGTGATGAAGTGCTGTCAGAGACTGGTACAGGACTCCCTCCACACTTGACCCATTGCAGTTGGCATACTGCCCAAACACCTCCATATGAAGACATCATATCCTCTGCACTCCACCCTAGCCTGAAACATTTAGAGGGAAAGGACAGCCATGTGAAAATGCTGTTCATAGACTGCACTTCAACTTTCAATACAATCACCCCCCCCACCACCACCACATCTAAAGGTTGTTGGCCTCATCCGAGACGACAAGGAACACACTTAAAGGGAGTAGGTGAAACAACTAGCGAACTTGTGCAACACCAAAAATCTGTAAAAAAAAACAACAAAAAAAACTCCTGTTGACTTCAGGAAGAACCATCCTAATCTCACCCCATTCTACATGTGGAGTCTGTCAAGAACACAAAGTAACTGGGGGTGCACATCACAGACAACCTGAGCTGGATCCCAAACACCTCATCCCTGACAGAGAGCCCAGCGGCGCCTGCACAGGCGGTGGATGAGGAGAGCACACCTCCCCCGCCCCCCTCTTAACCATTTTCTACAGGAGCACCATAAAGAGTGTACTGACATGCTGCATAACTACCTGGTACCGAGACTGCAGTGCCTCAGCCCACTAGTACTTGAGAGTGGTAAGGGCATCTGGAAAGACCACTGGGACTTTACTCCCATCAATTCAGGATATATCACACAAACACTGCTTGTCTGGGGCCACCAACATGGTAACAGACCCCATCCATCCCCACCATAGACTCTTTGCCCTTCTGCTCTCCAGCAAGAGATAATACAGCATACAGGCCAGGACCGCCAGGTTCCAAAGCTTCTTCCCCCTGTCAGACTCCTCAACTCCCATAACCTACATACACTGAGTCATACACGCAAGCACACCACACGCACACACACACACTCATGTTTGTAGTATGGAAGCAACTGATGACCATAAAGGTGTTATTCTTATAAGCAAATGAATACATACTTGTGAGACTACTACTGCCCCTACCATTGAGTTTAGTCCTGAAATATTTTACTTCCAACCATCATTCTTAATCTATTTGTTTTTGGTCGGAATACCTCTCATTTTATTTTTCATTAGTCAAATTCAACTTGTGAAATTTCCAAAACTTTGTTTCCAGTATATTTATTTGTAGGACTCAGAAAATAGGAAATTGCGCCCATGACAGTTTATTTAATACAATTTGTTTATATTGTATTGTTTATATTTAAATTGATCACTGAATCTGAATGCCTAGAATAAGCAATCAAGCCTAAATGGAACCCCCATTCACACTGCTTCGGCATGTGGAGAAATTTGAGCACTGGAAAAACCAGCTGTAGACACTATGTATGATCTTGTGTTTTGGGGTCTGAATTTAATATCTGGAATAATACTGTCTGAACAACACATTTGTATTGCCATGATTTTTTATTAATTCATTTAAAATATTTGTTCCAAAAAACTTTCTAAGTATAGTAATTTTCCTTCTATTATAGTAATGAAGCCATCTTTCTTAGTACATTTATGGGTTTTAATATTTATTAAATTTTACAATTAAGGTCAATTCAGATTTTTGCAACTCTTGCTGCACAGTCATCAGCTGTGGAATCACACTAGGAATAGTACATATTACCTTTTAATATTCTGTATATGTAATATGAAATGTTTTAGAAAGATCATAACTACGAATTTGAACATTCTTATTTATAAACAGCTTGGTGTTGATTTTGAACGCAGCCCAGCTGATCTAATGCCACTTCACCCCTACGTCATATCCGTTACACAACCTTCTCCGAGAGTTCTGTCCAAGATGGCGTCAACGCAGTTAACGGATGAGGAGCTTTTCTCCGAATTAAAGCGCTTTGGTTTCACTCCAGGGCCGGTAACCGAAAACACTCGCCCGGTATATTTGAAGAAATTGAAAAAGCTTCGGGAAGAGCAACAGCAGCGGGGCTCCAGGCCGGTTAAAACCCGTAGCAGCGGGGCCATCAGTAGCAGCACTGGCGGCGGCAACACGGCGGGATCCAGGCCAGCCAGCCATGACGTCACGCACCTGAGCTCTAGCAGGAGACCGGGCCGGAAGTCCTCCGTCCTCGGCTTCAGCTCCGACGAGTCTGACGCTGAAACTCCATTTAAAAGAAAGGGCCTCAACCACAGCGGCAGGGTCGTCCGAAGCCCCGGGTTTCAACAACAACCTAAGATAAGGCCCGTTACCACACCGAGTGTTGCTAACAAGAGTCAGTATGGCGCTACGAGTACGCTAAATAGCAACAATTCTTCCCCGGGTCCGGACGGACAGAGAAGTGTCTCGCTGGGCTGGGGAGTTCGTGCCAGATCCAGCCCCGAGGCGGAAGGGAGGGATTACGACGAATCGGGGGACGAGGACGATTGTGAGGGGGAGACGGAGAAGAACTCTCGCTCTTTAAATGGCTGTGGGGCGCTTCACGTGAACACTAGCAAGCTAGCCGGGGATTACTCAGACTCAGACGAGGAGGAGGTTGGGGGCCTTGGTGCCGCAGACAGACAGCGGGATAGGTTGGAGCCTAGACGGAGCCACCCGAAAGCGGCGTTCCCTTCCCACGGAGTCGGCCGAGGGTCTCAGACTGGAGGGGTAGCAAGAGAGATTAACACGCCTGAGAGTCTAAACATGGTGGGGAGCCGGAGGGAGGAGCGGGAGGGAGACGAGGTGAAGAGAAGGGAACCGGACTCATCGGGAGGCTTGCGGAGCCACAACTTTGCCAGGAAGTCCATCTACGTGTCCCTCGGCGAGAACCACGGAGCAGAGGCCGGCGAAAACAACCACGTCGACGGCGACCACGGAGCCTCCAGAAGCAACAACACTAGTCGATTCAGCATCGGATTGAGACCGCGCTTCTCCAACTACAGCAGCCTGTCCCAGACCTACAGGGGCAACCACTCCAACCACGTCGCTGCCAGCAACCCGTACAGCCAGGCGGTGCTGAAGCAGAAGCTGTCTGTTCCGGAGGATGAGCTGCTCCAGCAGTTCAAACGGGAAGAGGTGGCCTCCTCCGGCAGCTTCAGCGCTCACTACCTGTCCATGTTCCTGCTCACTGCAGCCTGCCTCTTTTTTCTGCTGCTGGGCCTCATGTACCTCAGGATGAGGGGCTCTGGATCCTCTGAGGTGGATGGAGTCAGTAAGTATCTGTCAAGATGTGCTATGAAAGCTTTTCAATTGTTCATCCCCAGACAGTGTCAGATATGTCCATTTGCAATTTAGTGTTTAGTAGAAATGCATCCCCATCTGGCGTGGTGGGGGTTGAATGTCTATTTTCTTTTTCAAATGCGGCATCCCTGTACAGCCACTGTTTGACACTGATTGTCAGAGTGAAGTGATTTATTTACACAGAGCCTTTAAACACACTATTATCGTAAAAACAAAACAAACATTGTTGCCTCTATTTGATTTTTTTATAAATTTGTGGAGATTCACAGCGTTTTCCCTCCTGCACTGTACTGCACTTCCATTTTCAGCACAGACAGGATCTGTCTGCGCCCACTGCTTCTGATCTTTGAAGAAGACATACTTTATTAACACCGCAAGGAGGAAATACATATTTTTATAATATACACCCACAGGTCCAAAATACACACACACGCACAAACAGGACCTGTGCACTTGCATTAATGTATCTCGCCGGTTACGGCCACCCTCTGGTTCCCAAGCCAAGTCCCCTTCTGAGCTACTGCAGTCTTGTGGCACAAGACATCAGCTGGTTAGCTAGTGCTAACTTCTAAAATATGTAGTAGGGACAGACTGAACAAAGTAGGATCTACACACCTGACTTAACCTGACTCCCATGGCGTCACGTCTCATAACCAGTGATACTATTTAGTCTGCAAATGCAAACACGGACCACAGATCAGTGTGCACAGTCCTGTTTTAAATCTCCTGCAAGTAGTACAATCACTGGGTTTGTTTTGTAATTGCCAGAGTCAGATAGCCCTCAGACAGGGACATAACCCTAATTCCCCTCTAAGCAATGCTGGCACTGATGTTGGCCCAGTCCTGGCCCCAACACACTCTAGATGGTGTTGTTTCTGATGTGTTTGTGATAAAGCTAATTACTTTTCAGCTGTCTCCAGGTAGTTGCTCATTGCTGGCCCAATCTTTCACATGTCCTCCTTCATGTATGAATAATTATAACTGTCCAGACCTTCCTGCACTTGCAGACTTAAAGGGTGGCCTCCCAGGAAGTCTGTGAATGCCCTGGCATCCCAAATCCACAATTCATCAAGTACACAAAAATTCTTGAACGCGCTTTCTGCAGACTTCATCAGACTTTGCTCTGAAGATTACCCACAGTGTGACCTAATATTGACAAGACAAATGAAAAATAAAATCATGGATGTAAACAATGCTGGTTTAAAACTTTGGCTTTTTTCAAACGTGTGTTCAACTGGAAGGGAATGCATTCATCATGTTTGTTAAAGCTCATGGAAACACACGGTGGGTTTAGGCGAGGAGCACTGAATGTAAACACAAAAGGGTGTTTCTTTACAGGAAAACCCTCAACAGAGTACCTTTTAATCGATGAATCCTTGGGGAAATAGTTTCAATGTATTTGAGAATCATGCGATCACGTTGCCACCTGAAATTGTTCTATTGTGAAAATAAACTCCGATTTCTGATCTGAAAACCAAGAGCTGAGGTTTGAGAATATAACAATTTAAGTGTTGATTGATGATCATTCGAAATTCTATCTATAGATTAAAATCTGATGAGATAATGATGTGCCAAATGAAATATATTCACATTGGAGAAACCTATAATATAACCGATTCTGCTCTTCTTTGTTTCGCTCAAATCACAAGAAGACAGATTTTCCTCCTTATGTTGTGTGGTGTCTAGTATTGTGTGTAATTTGTTTTGGGTTTTATTTGAAGTTGAGACTTGTACCACCACACAGTACAGTGGAGGTAAATTTTTATTGTGGCGCTAACAGCATCAATACAAATTACAACTGTTTTCACTGTAAATTATTTAGTACCAAAGATGTTTCAAGTCTTTTGTCCACCTCATGTAAATATGGGAGTGCAAGAATATTCAAAACACCTCAAACATTACTATGGATTATGTAAGATGGAGTCATAGTGTCAACAGTTAAAGTTGGCAGTGTTCCAGGTGCCTGGTTGAGTTTCATGTACAGACGCTGACTCACGCATGTTAAGTGATGTCTGATCTGAACTACACTCACATTCCACAGTCTCTAAACACGGCAACTTATTAGAAAAGACCAGATTTCTCCTGAAGCTAATCCAGCGTGGGCCTTTACAAGTGTGATGTCTGAGGTTTACAGTGGGGTTTCAGTGGGCAAGCTGTTTCTGTCTCTTGACCCCATCTCTTTCTCCTTTGTTGCAGTTAAGAGCCATCCATTTGGCAGCGAGTTTGACACTTCTTATGTAAGTAGACATTTTACTCTGACCCCCTCTTTTTAAATTCTGTGTACAGCAAGTGCAAAGTGTACACTTAAACTGGAAGTATAATGGATGTCAGCAGTGAACACCGCTGAAGTGCTGCTATGATAATGAAGTGAACTTTCTTTCTTGGCAATGCTAATCCCAAAGGCAGTGCTACACTTCTGATGTTTGTTGTGACTGACATTGCATTTAAAGGCAGAGAGTAGCAATTATTTTGCTGGGAGGTGTTTGTACAACACTATACATTAAGGGTAGCATGAAGACCTGGCCTGTGAAAACACTTTACCTAAAGTGACAGCGAATACTATCAATAACACACATTAGGTTCTAAATTCATATTCACATTCATTAAATCTTTGAGTCTAGACTGTAGAGATGTCTGGAGCTGATCCAGGCGTAGTTTAATGGGTCTGGATTAGCTAATAAAAAGGGCAGATAAAAATCCGACCCTGTCTTGACTATTCCCTACTGTGTTTTGTCCACATCAGCATGCAAGCCCTGCAGCGCTGCATTTCTATACCACTGCTGGCCTCTACAGTGCAGCATGCCACTGTGTGCTCCAGTATAAATTAGTGTGCAGATGTGAAAAGTAGTGACTCTGAGTTCAGACAATGAGGTCGGCATGGATTTGCTAAGCGCGGATGCTAATGATCATTAGCAAAGAGCAGCGTAGAAAACATTCAGTTTGCAGCTTCTCACTTTTTAGCCGGCACTGGCTGTTGCCTTCTCCAGTTAAAATAACATCGCCGGGCGGCTGATCATACCAGCTGTCACCAGTGAATGTTAATTTCATGAGTAACTTGACACCAGGCCATAAACTTGTCTTTTGTCTGTTAAAATGCTTTCTGCAGCCGTGGTCTCCACTCTTAACACCGCTGTAGAACCGCTAGCAGACGAGTGTTGCTGTGGTTCAATTAAAGCCAACAACTGATCACGTCACGTTAATTTCAGGAGTCCTAATCTCCCAGTTTAACTTTCATTCAGTCCATTATTAACTTAATATATTTGAACCAAGACCTTCAGTATGTGGATGAAGTAGCTTGTTAAAAACAACGTTTGTCAGATTTAGCAATAAGTAGTAGGGTCGGATTCAGTATCAGCAGATACCCAATGTTAAATGTCAAGACCAAAAAACATGATCCGGACATCCCTACTAGAGTGTAATATTTTGTGTCCTTTCAGGTTTTCAGTTTGGACTTTTTTTAACTGTCATAGTGCCACCAGAAAGGTCTACATGCATACATTTGAAGATAAATGAAAATGTACATATAAACTAATAAATAAATGCAGTTCTGTTGGTAGACTGTGTCTACTAAGTGTTTTCACTGTCTGCAGGAAAAGGAGGTGAAGGACGTGATCCTAAACCTGCTGCTTAATCTACATGATCACCTGGCCCACATCGCTGGTAGCTATTAACTGTTTTCTTCTAGTTCTTTAGAAAAACATGACGGTGACTTAAACATTTGCTCTTACAAATGCACACTATTGTACTGTACTTGAGGAACTCAAGGACTCACATGGCTTGAGGAAAGGTAATAGATTGTCAAAGAGGTCATCAGTCAGACAGAGCTGGTAAAAGCAGCTTTTAATGTTGTAATAAAAAAATGTTTAAACTGTCCTCTAATATAAACTTCAGGTCATACTGTCCAGTCTCTTTGTAAACACGAGCACTCATCAGTGGATCAACAGGATGTGAAGACACATTGGGATGAAACAGGCAGTCAGTAATGGGGTGTGATATTGTAATTACAGGCCAGCATGACTGTGGAGACCAGCAGCATCCAAACAGGAGTCTGTCTATGGAAGAGGCATCTGCGTATTTACTGGTATGTTCATAAGTGGGAGGGATAGATGGGGGATGACACGTAGCAAAGGGCTGTGGGCCGCTGCAGTACACGGTGCGCGTGCTCTACCAAGTGAGCTAACCGCGCCCCCCTTTGTCTTTTTATTGAGCAAAGTCTGAATTTTGCGAAAGGGGACTTTGGAAGAATACATTAGAGTGTACTTTCCAACGTGTTTGCTTTGGTTTAGTTGTTCTTAGTCCAGTCTGAACGCAGGATCTGAGACTGATGCTGAATCAGTTCCATTTGTCTTTTGTTCAGGCTCAGAATGAGGAGTTTGGTAACTTCACTCATACTTCTCTGGAGTGGATCATCCGGACAAGCCAGGATGTTGGGATAAGGTAATGCACTATATACTGTACTTACTCATGCAGATCACACGCCTCCCATGTAACTACTGTCTATACTCACTGTGTGTGTGTGTGCGCGCAGGTTGATTGGCCAGGTAGCAGAGGATCCAGTGACTGATGTGTCTGAGATCTCTCGGCTGGAGTCCACTCATCCCAAGATGCCCTTCACGTGCCGCTTCCGCCGAGCCTTCCTCACCGTCATCAGCAGAGTCTTTCTCATCGCAGTTGGTGAGATAGGTCACACCATGAAACGAGCAGTGTAAATCACTGTTAATTAGTGTGATGATTAGTGCACCTACAGCTGTTACAGTAGGTGTTAACCGATATATATGGCATGTTTTCCTTTGTAAATACTTAAAACAATTTTGTACATTAAGAGAAAATAACGCCAAAGGATGAAATGAGAAAATATGATAAAGAATTGCTGATCCTAAAAACAGATGTGAACTCTTGTGCTGTACATTACACGGTGGAATGGGATAAGTGAAAACTGCTGCTGGGGGAACTAGATGAAAAGTCAGGGACTCAGTTAAGTCATGAGGATTCATGCTCTATGGACCTTGAATACCGGTGTCTGTCAGGATATTTTAGTAGGAACCAAAGGTGTGGACCGACCCACTGCCCGCTGCTGCAGGGCTGTCGGCGTTTCAGCTGCGTTTTTCAGTCCATTTCTGAACGCGTCTGATGGAACACATATTCTTCTATTTGAAACAGTCCAGCTGTCTACCCAGGCCACGCAATGGCTCGTGATTAACTTGTACTTTAAGAGTGTAGCTGGGACCTGAAGTGAATTTTTACAAAGTTCAAGTCTATTTTCTTCTGTTTTATGCGCATAACTACAGTGATTGTGTATTTGGGCTGTTAGAGTTGCAAAATAGTGGGTGACCTAAATCAATAATGTGCCTGAACACATTTTGTGTCAACACCAAGCGGCAACTGCCGGGGCTAAAAAGTAAAGCCAACGTGGAAGTGCCAAAAAACTTCAGTTCCTCGGATCTCAACTTGATGCTGGCTCCAAAGCTGAGTCGATTCCCATAGCCCCCCATGTTAGAATGCCCACCATTACAGCAGAAATAACATGTTTAATATGTGGTTTGGTTGCTACTTTCCCTAGCTGTCAGCTAGCTTCACCCACGCTCCACCTATTTGCTCATTTTTGGATTAGCGAGAGGCCAGACGCCACCACACTGAGCTTCACAATTGCTCTTCAGAAAGCTATGGATGACTCCACAGAGACTGTCACACAATCCTACACATAGGGCGTTAAGGAAGGAAAAACATTACATTAATTTGTTAGTTTGCTGCATATAGATAAATCCTTCATTATTAACACAGGTGTTGATTAAGGGACATCTATAGCCATGTTTTATCAGAGTTCACAGCAGTAACAGGAGAAGCAGCAGTGGCAGCAGTTTTTCAGTAGTGTGTGTGTTTGAACCTGTGTGTGTGTCTCTGTGCAGTGGTAGGCTGTGTGTGGAGTGTGGTCTGCTACATGAAGTATCGCTGGAGGAGAGAGGAGGAGGAGACCAGGCAGATGTACGATATGGTGGAAAGGATCATCGGTAAGAAACGTCACACATGCCCCCGAATGTCAAGCAAGTGAATGTGTTTGCTTACAGAAACAGTCTGACGTCTTGAGGAAACGCTATTTGCTGTCTTACGCAGACATGAGTCATCTGTACGACTGTAGTATTCATGTGTGTCCCTTACCGCGATGGTCCCCAACATGTTTTCTCACAAAGCAGTGGTTTAGAAAACTGCTGTCAGAAGTGAGAGAACAAAAATTACTCATGATAAATGAACAACATGAAGTACTAATACATAGAAAAAGTATACAGTTATGTGTATGTAAATCCTGTTCTGAATACTTGTGTTAATCATGCACATGATGTCACAGTGATTTGTGTCACAGCCTTGCTTGGTTTTTCTCTTGAGTGCTGTATTTTAGCCTCATGTTTGAATCCTGTGTTGATGATCAGATGTGTTGAGGAGCCACAGTGAGGCCTGCCAAGAGAACCAGGACCTGCAGCCCTACTTGCCCATCCCCCACGTCAGAGACTCCCTTGTTCAGCCTCAGGACCGGTCAGTACCAACACTGCCACAGCTTGATCTTTAGTATCTGAATCTGGATAGAAAAGTAGGATTCAGAAAATTATCTCAGGGACGGCCTGAAAATTCAGTCAGAATATTCAGTTAACGCGTCTCAGCAAATGCAAGAAAATCTATTTAACATCATCTACACCACTGACGGCTGATGAATTTTCCTCACTGTTGATCTAACTAAACAAAATAAAACCATGCATGTCATAATGGAAACTTTGCACAATGGCTCCATTCAAAAATAAGTGGACTGCTGGAGAATGTCCTGTTATGCTTAGGTCATATTTGGTACCTGGTACACAAAAGGATAGCGCAAACATCTGTTTCCTTCTTCAGTAGTAGTAGCACTGCTCTCCTTCTCCACTCCCATGGAGATGTGATTTAGCAGCGTTTTCAAACACGATATTTTACAGGAAGAAAATGAAGAAGATCTGGGAGCGGGCTGAGAGCTTCCTCTCAGCCAACGAGTCCAGGATTCGAACAGAGACTCAGAGGATTGGTGGGGCGGACTTCCTGGTCTGGAGGTGGATCCAGCCGTCTCTCAGTTGTGACAAGACCTCCTTGATGCCCTCCAAAGTTTGGCAGGGAAAAGGTAAAACACACTGCATTGCACAGCATTTCACTCAAACTGTAGCAGTGACTTCACAACTGATAGGCAACAGCATACCATCACCGCCCTCCCATTTTTCCAAGCAGCAGCAATGTTTAGTAAACAAGCTACTCCTAAGGGCCCCAGCATGCTCCATGCAGCGACCCAATCTGTAGGGGTCTGCATACTGTCTGCAAGAATTTCTGTGGACATGTTCAAGCCGAGCTCTCGTCTGTGCAGGAGTTACCATTGATTTCTTGCACAGTAAGGATTTTGTTTGTGTATCATATTTCAGCATTAAGGCTGTTCAAAAGAAACATCACAAAAGAAAGAAATATTGGTATAATAAAGTTAAGAACTGAATAATTATTTAATATAAGGCAGCGGCAAACAGGAAAGAAAAAGAACTGGGAGTTGCAGCGGACCTGCAATTTTCTGGGAGTTTAAGATATTCTATTGTATTCAGTTTATTTATGTAGCGCCAATTCAAAACAGAAGCTATCTCACTGCACTTTTCAGACTGTACTACACGTACTCTTTGTAGTTTTATTTGCCCAACAATTCCCACCACAAGCAAGCATTTGGATGGCTTGCAATCGTAGATCCAGACTCTACAACTCCAGAGGCAGAAACACCTGATGAAAGCAACGCTGGTCCAAACTGAACGCTGCTTTTCCAGGTTTAGTTTTGACTCCGGGGACACAAGGCAGACCTGTCCCAGACCACCTGAGAGGTCCGGATGGTTTGTAACGTAGCAGAAGGTCAGAAGTATTAAATCAGAACAGCAGTACTTTGAAGTCAGTTCTTCAACACACAGGAAGTCAGTGTAAAGACCTCAGAACTGGACTGATGTGATCCACTTTCTTGGTCTTAGTGAGGTACCCGAGCATCAGCTGCAGGACAGTTACAGTAGTTGTGTCGACTGAAGATAAATGGGTGAATAGTTTTGGATATTTGTTTTTCCAATCCTGCTGAGACATAAGTCCTTTAAGCTTTTATATTCTTTGAAGCTCACTTGTAATCGTCTTATTGTGGCTGTTGAAATTCAGGTCAGAGTTCAGGACTACACCAAGATTTCTGGCTTGTTCTGTGGGTTTTAACATTGCATTTTGAAGCTGACTTGATTGTTCAAGTCACCTTGGCTTCAAAAACGTTCTCCATGCATTGAACAATCGTTAATTTGTTCTGTGCACCTACTCACTGCTCGTACTGGACATAGTACATAGTAGTAATGGTGATAGTAGTTTACAATCACCATTCCGGCTCAATGTCGTGATGTCTGTCAGATGGACGATGGCATCGTCTTATCAGCCCAACCCTGTTCTGAGTTCAGACTTTTAATGTGGCTGTATGTCGCTGCTGTACAGCTTTTATTAATCCATCATCGTTATCTGATGTTTTGGAAGCAGGCGGAGGAAGTGATTGTGCCTGGTTTCCCACAGACCAAAGAGCCAGTCCTCATTAAGGAGTGGCCTCCACACATTGGCTGGATACAATTGTGGAGTTTAGCGGAGGTTTGTGGGCGCCTGTGTTTGCGTGGCCCAGTCACAAGAAGCATGCAGCCAGTTTCCACAGTAGCTTGTGGTTGACAGGCCCTGGTTATCATGTCATCTTGCAGTGTGAACCAAAACATACTCTGCCTGTGATTCCACCTTACCTGCCAATTAACACACGTTCACTGGACAGTATTGAAGCAGCTACGTGACATAATTGTCAGTTCATTGATTTGATTTCCTCTCCTCTTCAGCTTTCCCTCTGGACCGGAGGAATTCACCTCCCAACAGCCTGACTCCATGCCTGAAGATCAGAAACATGTTTGACCCAGTCATGTGAGTACCTGCTGCTTGTTTGCTGCACCAAACTCATTCTGTCCCCCCCCCCCCCCCCCGGTTTGACTTTCTGCTCACTACTCTCTGTTTTTCAGGGAGGTGGGGGAGAACTGGGATCTAGCCATCCACGAGGCCATCCTAGAGAAGTGCAGCGACAACGACGGCATCGTCCACATCGCCGTCGACAAGAACTCACGAGAGGTATACGCCGTCCTGTGAGTGATGAGCGCACTCCATGCTGTTGGCTGCAGTGATGTCTCACCACACTTCCTGTT